TGTACACACACACACACGACACAGAGCTTTATTGGTATACTCGCACTGCACACGTGCTGAGTTCTAGTATGTATGCAGAAGAATATTGCAGGAGATACAACAGTATGTGCGGGTGTCCAACTACAAGAGCGATTTCAATTTATACAAATGGAGTCCACATATACGCTGTGAGTTGTCTTGTATACATATGCGGATGTATGTAAGCAGGTTCGGCCTGTATTGAACAAGCCGCCACTGCAAGCTCGGCATGTTCGTGTCTGAGTGTAGTGCAATGGTGGAAAAAGAATGCGATTATGCGAGCTACACCGGTGATTACCAAGTTTCAGTCATCTAAGCATCGATACTACCACGTCCGTGCTTTTTCAAGCTAAGTGTATACGAAAAGTGTGTCGAGGCTCTGACATACTCGATGGCAGTCCAACCTAGACTCAACCACGCGTTTTACACGTATCTGGTAGAGAAGAACATGTGCCTTGATCCATGGTTGACATTTCGTTTGCACTATGCAGACGGCCGACAATGCATAGATATAGCCCATCTACTGTGAGATGAGAGCTGCACTCGCATTTATCAACATACAGTTCTCGCACAACCGAATAGGATGTCAATACTACAACACTGCAAGCGTATCCACGCACTTCAGACTCATAGCTACGCCGTGATACTCTAATCGAAACCAATTTATCTATATATAGATATGTTAAAAACCATACCCGATTTACACATGATAAACGGATACTGGCACAACTTTGTACACGGAAACTTTTTGACCAGCCAGATACATACCCGTAAACAGCGTTGACAGGGTCGGCAATAAACGTTGCATCCGTGTTATACGCTACATCATCCATGGGCTGCGATGAGAGGTCTACACTGATGCGCCTGCGCATACGTTTGCCAATAACATGTCTGAAAAAGCGCCTTACTCGCGCAACGAAGCCTATAAACGTATACCATGGCTCATGCAAGTCATCGTCCGCCACTGTCTTGTTCTCTTGATCCGTCTCTGTGTCATGATTGGCGGATTGATAATAACAGATCTGTTGAATATCGATGAGTACTTAGGTACTGATGTATGGGTTGCGCATACTCAGCGTTCATGGCGGAGCTGATCCAAGGATTCCCAAGCCACGCACCCGTAGATGTATACCTACTAAACATTCGCCAGTCATTCGGACTCTCTTACTTCTGCTTGACAGCAGAGAGCGCAACGACGACTGCGTGTGTGCCAGAGCCAAACTGATGGGATTATAGTACGAGGTATGGCTCTATATGCACGAGTGCCACAAGCGAAAGAGAAGAAGAAGAAGTAACGAACCAGATACATGTAACATACATAAGCGAACAGCACAACACACCCTTCTACCACCCAAGTTTCCTCCAGGCGTTCTTCCAGTCTCATGGGCTTCTGGTGTACTAGCGCCTTTCCTCGGAATACATTCACATTTCTGTGTTCTTTGTCCATCTACATACACGTCTAAGCTAACATATAAACCACTCAGTTCGATAGTCCCTTCACAGGAATACATCCACGCTTCTGTGTGCCATATCTATCTAGACTACGCATATATACCTTCATCCACACTTCCGGGTTTAAAGCCATATACGCATATACATATATAACACACCACGCTGGGCGTGGCAGCATGCCTCGCCTTATCCAGGCATTCTTCCAGTCGCATGAACTCCTGATATACTAGTGCCTTTCACCAGAACACATACACACTCTCTTTGTTCCTTATTCATCTAGATATACATTCTATACCTACATTCACACTTCTCAGTTCGATATTGCTCTTTACCGGAAAATGCACACGCGTCTATGGATCTACAAATATCACACACCCCGTCCGGCAGCACGTCTGGCCTCCTCTAGACGTTCTTCCAGTCGCATAAGCTCCTGGTGTATCTGCGCCCATTTGCGCGTTAGAAACTTGACGTTGTTGACATCATCAGAGATATAGTCCGTCTCTGTCACGTCGTCGTCGCTGGCATCGGATTTACGCCAGAACTACACAGACACGGGACAAGCAGATGCGTAGCATCAGATAACTGTGGGAGTGGCTGGGTCGGCTAACCCCTGGGGCTCTCCATGCGTACTCCAGGTTACAGATATTGAGAGGGGCACTGCGGCACTACCATGATGCATGTATATTGATTCTCTGTAAGTGAGTGTACGAGTCTCTGAAAGGTGCCTGTACACATACCTTCAGGTACTTTCGCCAGAGTAATAAACCCATCAGAGATACTGCGATCCACAGATACAGCGCAAAGAAGGCCATGAACTTGGACCATTGGTCGCCGATGCTGAACACACTCTCCGTGACTACAGAGAACACCAATGCACCTCCCAGAGACAGCGTGCACACGAACAACTCTCTGCACCAAGAAAAGAGCGAAAGTACAGTTAGTTGTGGTATTCAGCTTGATAAATTTTATTTTTCATAGCAATTTGGTTGGTGGTTGACTGGCCGTTCGTCGTTATCACAACAGCTACCACAGCAACGCAGATGGTGTACACATGTCCATGTTTGAGCATGTATTGCTATTTGTAGGTTGAATATGGATTGCTATTTATAGATTGAATATGGATTGCTATTTATAAATTGAATATGGATTGCTTTGTATAGCTTAAATATAGATTGCTATTTATAGGTTGAGTATGGATTGCTATTTATAGGTCGAGTATGGATTGCTATTTATAGGTCGAGTTTGGATTCCTATTTAAAGATCGAGTATAAATTGCGATTTATAGGTGAACTTAATGATAGACTATCTGATACAAATTGCCATGAAGGATGTGATATAAACTTGATGACCAATACTTTTGCGTCAGCCTAACTCAAGTGGTATCGCGCGAGGGTTGAGGGCGTTAATAATAGCAGTCACATTCATCAAAAAACATCCCAAAAACATACCATACAAGACAACATTGAATAGCCTTAGTTTCTAGTCCTCCAACAGGCCAAGTGGACAGGCCCAATGGACATACGAAGGTGTTCTGGAAACGCCGACAACAAGTAGCACACGCACATATAAACACTCACATATAAACACTCGCAAATAAACACTCACATATAAAAGTCATACAACGATGTTATAGAATCACCGCCAACATGTAGCACCCTCACCTATAAACACTCACATAAAAACACTAACATATAAAAGTCATACATCGATGTTATGGAAACACCGACTACAAATGGAATAACCGGCTACAAATAACACACACTTATGGAAGTCATGCAACGATGTTTGGAGAACCCGACTACCAGCAACACGTTCCTATATACCTATATACTTCAAACCATTGTGTGCTTAAAGCCCCTAGATACATAAAAACCCTACATACATATAAATCCTACATACATAAAAACCCTATATACGGGCAAGTAGGTAAAAGAGGGAGTGTAGGGAACACAATCAATCACTCGCCTCGTTTCGCCGAACTCGGGCGGAATGGTACGCGTTTTGAAGGCTATGACACTCAACGCGGCCACCCCCGCCATAATCAACAGACACAGGAATACATAGAAGCCCCCTTCGGTGATCACACACAGGCCGTTGGAATCAACCACCACGCCATCCGTTAAAGTGAAGCCTAGCAGTATAATGGCCAGTGGCACAAACAACAGTGTGAGGTATCCGACCAGACGCCAACCGCTCAGGCCCCTGCGGATGTGAGAGAGGTGTGTTTGTGAGTGGGTGCGTGTGTATGAGTGTGTTTGTGAGTGGGTGCGTGTGTGTGAGTGTATTTGTGAGTTAGTGAGCGTGTATGAATGCGTTTTGTGTGAGTGGGTGAGTGTGTGTATGTTGTGGTTGTGTGAGAGAGAAAGGGAGAGAGCGAGTGTGTGTGAGAGAGTGTGAGAGTGCACAGAACGTACCAGCCAAAGCATACCAACGTCAATGTAGTAGATAGCAGACGACAAAGTATGACACACTATGGAATGTAACGCGTACTATAACACAACGTCTGCCACAGAACGCACTTTGTGATTATCTGTCGTGTGCGTAGTCTGCGGTGGAGGTCTCCGTTGAATATGACGTGCAGTCGCAGGTTGCGCAGGAACAGTGTCACCAGGATTAAGTGCCACGAGCCAAACAGCAGCCAAATCTGTGTGATATAATCAAGTGTATGTGTATAAGAACAGTGTCACCAGGATTAAGAGCCACGGGCCAAGCAGCAGCCAAATCTGTGTGATATATTCAAGTGTATGTATGTCTCTGTCTATTGCATGAACAAGTGTATGTGTGTCTATGACCATACTGAACAGAGAGTCACATCTCAACATGCGTCTGTATGTGTACTCTGCTGAAGTGGTAGGTGGCCTTTCTCTGGCAATGCGCTACATAGGCTTGTATTTGCTCACAGTGGAATAGTTAACTACCACGCAAACAGACCAAATAGACCACAGAGCAATACTTAACTACTAAGCAAACATAGACCAAATAACCCAAGTGATAGAAATCCCCCCACGCGCGTGTATGGGGCGTAGCCGTCGTCTCGTCTGCGTATGCATAGCCATTGATTCATCACGCCCACTCACGCATCCACAACAGCGACAGCCCAAGTAACGGAACAATGAAATTACGGATGGGGGTCAAAGTAGAAAACAACAACATATAAACAACAGAGTTACCAACCGATTACTGCGATCAAACTACGAAACCACAACACACGTAGAACGGAACAAATAAACTATGACTGCGAATACGAGAGGACGTCACACGGCTGTGCTTACCTGTATCTGACATTTGAGCAGCACGTGGCTAGCACTGCCCCCGAAATCTCCCCACAGGAACAAAAAAAACGCCATCATCTGCAAACCTGAGTGTAGACAAGACCAAACAAGATGATCATTAGTAAAAGCGTAGGAAAATATTAATATATATATATATATATTAATATATACATATACATATATATATATATATATATATATATATATATAAATAA